TTGTATATTTTGGAAATCAGTCCTCTGTCAGATGTGGGGCTGGTGAAGATCTTTTCCCATTCTGTGGGTGGTCGTTTTGTCTTACTGACTGTGTCCTTTGCCTTACAGAAGCTTCTCAGTTTCAGGAGGTCCCATTTATTGATTGCAGACCTCAGTGTCTGTGCTTCTGGCGTGATGTTCAGGAATCGTTCTCCTGTGCCAATTTGTTCAAGGTTTATTCCCACTTTCTCTTCTAGAAGATTCAGTGTTCAGCCCCCCTTCTTTCATCTTGAAAGTGCAATGATGCCAACATGGTTTGTAGTGCTGGGGGATCCACACTTTCTTTGGGTTCTGAGCTCTTCCTTTACTCTGGCAGCAAGGCACTGTGCAAAGTACATTATTCAGGTTTCTTCCTAAGTCCCAGAAATGGCTTATCATAATCTGTCTTTACTAATGAAGTCATCACAGAGACCTGGAGCAATGAAGAGGCTTGCCTGAACTAGGGATAGAGGAATGGAAGGGTCTCTCGACTCTTCAGCCTTTGATATCATAGAACACACTGACAATTTGGAAGCAAATTATGCTGTGCTTGCAGCATAGTACATGACCCAAAGATAATTCAGGACTTAGGTGAGAGAGAATAGAAAAGCCTATGAGCCTGCTGTATTGGAAGAAGTTTTTACTGTGTCATGAAGTGCTTGGATGGCTTGAGTTTCATGTAGAGCTGTTGACCATGCCAGACAAACTGGTTAATTGATGCAGAATTTCAGGGCATTCTTTCTCGTCTCGTTATTGTCTACTTGTAAAGTCTGTACTTGCTTGAAAGACATTCCAGGAGCAAGTGATGAACAAGAAGGGATAACTTTGTAAAAGAATGAAAGCAGGAACTTAGGAACCTGCTGATGTATAAGAATTGAAAGGGGCTGATAATAGCAATTAATGATTGTGGAATCCTCGCTTCTCTGCTGTGAGTCTCAAAACCAGTTCTAAAACAGGAAGATTAAAATACATATCGATTTGCTGATGGGCAAAAGGTAAGGTTTAAAAGCAAAAATTGACCAATATGTATTACGTTAATTAAACCCTTCTCTGGGATGTGAATAAACACAGCTGATAATAGTATCTGTGAATTCTTGAATTGATTCTGCATTGAGTAAACTTCAAAGATGCAGGGCCATATCTGTCTGCAGTCACCTTCAGAAAGGCTATCTGGATGCAGAGGGATGCAGAAGACACAGTTCTCATTGCAGCTGACCTCCTTATGTTCTTGATGCTGCTGGTGTAATAGCAACAGGCTTTGAAGTATAAAGCCTCCTTTCAGTTACGTGCTAGTTAAAACTGCCATGCTCTTATGAAGCCTGAGAGCTCTGATGGGAAAGATTTTATATCAAGGGGAGGGAAGCAACCAGATCACATCAGACATGCTATCTCATTTTTATGGCAACCACTGGAGGTGTGGACCATCTTGCTGAACTTTGGACAGAACACTAACAGTGAGGTGGCCCCCAAAGAACATTCCTACTGACATTCTATGTGACTATTTCCATTCTGTTTTTTATTTAATTTGTTTTTCACACATGGATGATTAACACAGGTTTGATAATGATCCTATGGGATGGAAAATATGATAATTAAGAGATACTATGGGAATTTAGTATATTTCAAATTGGAGGGGAAATATGTGTTTCTTAATATATGACATGAGAATCACTGGCAGCTGTTTGGGAAAGGATAAAACTCCATTGTTTATATTGAAATAAATTCCCCAAAGTCAAGATTTAAATGCATAAAATGACGACGAGTGTGCTAGGAATATACAGAAGTTTGTTTTGTTGTATTGGTACAGAAAAGGCCTTTAAAGATTTATTTTCGTTTGTGTGTGTGTGTGTGTGTGTGTGTGTGTGTGTGTGTGTGAGCTGTATTTGTGCAAGTGCTTGAGAAGTCAGAAGAAAGCATCAGATTGATGCTTGAGTTACAAGTAGTTGTGAGTCACCCCAGGTGGGTGCTAGGAACTGAGCTCTAGTCCTCTGGAAGACCAACAAGTACTCCTAATTGCTAAGCCATTTCTATAGCCCAGAGAATGCCTTTAAAAGAATCTAAGCCTAAAATGTGTAACAGAAAACACTGGTAAATGTGAATATTTAATACTGATAAATCTTTATAGAGAAAAAAATACCAAAACAATGTTTAAATATAGCCAGAGAAGAGAAATATTTGTACCACACATACCTGAAAATGAGTAATTTTTTAACACTAAAGACGGAGACTCATTATGCTTCCTAGGATGGGGTTCCTGGGCTCAAGTGATCCTGCTTTAGTTTTCTAAATAGTAGGGACTCCAGATGAATGCAACCACACCTAGTTGAAGAACTACACAGGACAAGATATTCCAATAAAAATATACATGGATCTGGAGATTCATTGGTGCATTGTTTTAGTAGATGGATCCTGGATATACATGTTCTTCTATGATAAACTTGTTGACAAAATTATTGCAACAGCTAAAAAGAATGATGTGTATTGATGCACAAAGATGTTCCTATGTCCAAAGTAATAGCTTTAAGTTAAAAACACTCAGGAGGTTGTGAAGTAGTGTTTACTGACCATCTATTTGTCCATAAAAACACACCAAATCTAGAAGGTTATAGAAGCACTACAGATTGTTAACTCTGGGGATTGAGACCAAAGTTTTTAAAACATATATTATTTAAGGTCTGTATTGCTTGAATTCTATGGTGTATTATTCAGAATGTTAATTAATATTAAGGCAAATTCTAATAACGATTCTAGCAATACAATGAAAATGGGACACAAGACAGGCATATTATACGTATAGAAAGAATTTGCAGACAAGCCTTGTCTTCCATTGGTAGAGGCTGAGAATCTTGCCACTTGCATCTTGAATTACATATATTTTAATATCTGATGGGGAATGTACTGTGTATGTTTATCTTATTGATTGTTAAATAAAATACTGTTTGGCCAATGAGACAGCAAGTAGACAGGACTAGGAGTCAAAGAGGATTCTGGGAAATGTAGTAGAGCAGTGCTGACCCAGGCAGGAAGTGACATAGCAAGAAGACTCATATTTAAGTGAAGGAGAAACAGGAAGGGCTCTCTTTTTCCCTCTGCTCTTCCTCCAGTAGCACAATGCGATCCACCGGCAAGGAGGGATGCCAATAAGGTGTCCGATAAGATAAGTCTTATAAAATATATAGGTTTATGATAGTTAAGACTGAGCTAACAGATGAGAATCCTAGTCATTGGCCAAGCAGCATTGTACCTAATACAAGTTTCCGTGTATTCATTTGGGCCTAACTTGGGCAGGTGGCTGGCATAAAGTTCACACGTGGCGGTGGGGCTCAGGCAGCTTTTGGCAGAAAGATTTATTGTAACAGAATGGTGTCAGGAGTGGGATGCCCCCATGCCCCAAGGCTCCCAGAGAAAGAGGGAAACCTGCTGCCACAGCCTGCCCTGTCAGGCCGCTGAGAGGCATCAGAACATCTTTCATATGCTTGTGCCATCCTGGCACTTCTGGAGTTTAGACTCTGCATTTCTGAGATGATAAAGAATTCATTTGGGCCTAACTCGGACGGGCGGCTGGCGTAAAGCTCACACGTGGCAGTGGGGCTCAGGAGGCTTTTGGCAGAAAGATTTATCGTAACAAATATCTATGTCAGTTTTAGGCCATCCAGGAAGCAGATACTAAGACAAGGTCAGAAGAACACATAGTTGACTGAGTAGACCCTGTGAAAGACAGAGGAAGAAAATCCATTCAGGCTGTGGTGCTGATCTCCACCTAATGAGCAAGAAGGGCCAAAGGAAAGGACTCAGCAGGAAGACTATGAGATACTACCAATCCAATATGGAGCTCACAGCAAGGATGATCCATTGGAAGGGACCTCTTTGAAGTAGAAATGACCAGACCCTGGCACCCTGCAGTGCTCTACAGTTGGCTAGGACAGCCCAGAGGAACATAGCCTCAGTTTCTCTTATATGTGTGTGACCAAAGATGTGGTAACAGTGGTGGTCAGTTAACCTCATCCTTTGCAGAGTTAACTGCATCCTTTGCAGAGTTAACCAAATCATTTGCAAGAGGAAAACAAAATTTTCTTGGAAGGAGGTGAGCAGTCAGCTGCTTGGCTGCTGGAGCCTTACAGGATCAAGAAGTGGTTTTTACAGGGCTCCAATGAGCCTTTCTGAGGGAAGAGGGTAGGGGAACAAGCTACAGCCCTTACTCCTGAATTGGATCTCAGCACTGTATATAAATATACTAATTTTCTCCTAGCCACTCACCATTTTAAAATTCTCCTCATCCTAGCCCTCTAGATGTGTCAGTGGGTAAAGAGGTCTGCCAGCAACTTGATTAGCTGAGTCTTCTCCCCAGGATCTACATGGTGGAAGGTGAGAACTGACTTTCTTAAGTTGTCCTCTGATCTCCAAATGTTGCCTCAGCATGTGTGTTCCATCTGTATACGTGCACACTAAAACTGCAATAGTGAAAAAGAATTCCCTTTTCTTTCTGCTATTGCCTCTGCTGCTTTCAACAACCTGGAAGCATCACCCAATTCCCATTCCTGAGACAATGTAATCTCTGATAAACATAAACTTTCAGACCCTTACTGTTCACTATCAAAACTGGCAGAGGCCATCCCAGATTGTAACTAGGTGGATTTTCCATTGCATCCTGGCCACACTGAGTAACAGAGTTCCTTCCACCTCTGCTGACTACATCAACTTCCTCTGACAGACTGGTAAATCCTCCTTTTTGCTTGTGTACAGACACATGGATTCTTCATGCTCAGGTCACAGCTTTAGTTTAGAGTTCAGAAAGATCTTTAATCTATTCCTTGGCAAAGGCATTTTTCCTTTGGGGTCCTTTACCTTCAACATGGCAGAATGCCTATTGCATTGTGGGAACAGGACACCCAAGCCAAGAGGGTTGTCAAAGTGATGGTAATGGAGCATCCTGTGCTTCTCCCTTTGATCCTGGAGCTGTGCAGTCGCCCTGTGACATACAGCCATATGGAGCTCCCTGCTTCTGTATGTGTTCTGCATCCTAGAACACAGCACCCCCTCATAAATTAGTCTTCAGAGGGCTTTTCTATCACTGTAAGCTGATTGCTTACATTCTGGGTGGTACAGTATGCCCTAGAACCAGTGAATCCCAGTTTTCCTCCATTGGAATGGTGGCCTCATGGTAAGACACTGTATTGTGTGGCCTACCACATCTGTATTTCATTAGCCTTCTGAGAGTGATGTCTGTTGAGGCACTGTGCAGGAAAGACAAAGGCATACCCTTATCAAACGTCTGTTGTCTATTCCTTTGAGACTGACCACTGGTCTCCCTGGTACAACAGGGAGCCAGTGCAGTCAGTTCCTCACCAAGTATGCAGTCATTTCCCTGCAATGGACCTCTCTTCTGACTCTTTCAGCATGAGTTGTAAACTCCGTGTCCACCTCCATGGTTCTCTGTTTCTGTATGTTCACAATAACCCCACAGTGTCTCACATGGTTCCCCCAGGACAGCCAGGCATCCACAGCTCAGCCCATCATGAGACCTCACCAGGATGGCAGCCCCCTGTTGTAGTTATAATCATCATCAAGAGGAGTGTTCAACTGTTGTACCCACAGCCGCATGGAAAGCATGATGGCCCCTGACCCATCAGGGCACCGTGCAGCAATTTGAAAGTCTCTTGCTTCCACTGATCTTCCAACTTCCTGTGTCATCCCACCTCATTCTGATGTTGTACCTGGATTGAAAACTAGCTCTTCTCTGCTGTTGGATCCCACACTTATGTGTGGGCAATTAGTCATGTCACCTGGCTCCTGAGTGTCCATCTGGGAGAAAGGCCTTAGGCTTTTTTTTTCCTCAGGGGGACATTGACAACTAAGATCTCTTTTTTCCCTTCTAGTTATTATCCATCCATCCATCCAACCATCCATCCATCCATCCATCCATCCATCCATCCATCCACCCATCCATCCATCCAGTGAGGATTTTGAAATAAATCTAATATTTGTGGCAGACCCATAAATCCCTTAAGGAAGTGTGTCTTAGCTGGCCCTTATTTGCTTCAGGGCAGGATAATTCCTCATGGTATGGGAATCATTGTAGGCCCCATGAATGTACACACATTCATTTCCATATGCCCCTGGCTAAAATCTATGAAACCCCGAAGTGTGTAAACCTGCAAACCCAAAGCCCCTTTCCCCAGAGACCTTTTTTCTCATCATGTTTGGCTACAACTTGAGGCACTATGTGTTTTCCAGATTGCCATTCCTATGGCAAGAATGGTAGGTAGAAAGTTGCATTACTATCAGAGGTTAGAGGTAAGGAAAAAATGGTTTTAAAATTCACCTTTATAGCTTTCCATTTTTAGTCAAGGTGAGGCCACTAGTGTCTAAGAGCTGAGCACTGTAGAGTTTTGAGGGGAGCAATAGGGATGTGATGGCATTGGGGGCAGGGAAGCATGGGGAGGAGCCTGTCAGTTTGACTCTAAGGTATTTTCCAGTGGCTGCTCAGAGGAAGATGTTGGGATTTCTGCACCCATTTTGGAAGAGGGTTTGTCCCAGATGCAAGGTGTGCCAAGGAGAGTGGTACCCATGGAGCGGTGGATACAAGAAGATGCCATAGCACTTAGTCTCATAAAGACTGATGCCCTCTCCTCTTCATACTTAACATCTCACTGACACCTGTCTCCTTTTAGGAGGCCTCAAAACCTCTGGTCTTCAAGTTATCCTTTCCAGGCTCCACCCTGAGCTACTGTTTTAGTTCCTGCCTTTTCGAACTAGACAGACTTCCTAAGTGTCTACCTGTGGTCTTAATTTCTTCACCCCTTTCCACTCAACTTGCTTCGAGCTGGATTCTGTCTTGTTCAAAACCTGAACAGACTCATAAGAATACTTGCAATGTCAATGTTACTAAGTCCAGAGGATACTAGAGCCCTTATTAATGTTACTTTGATATATTCACTCTTCTGTGGACTACTTTCCCTCCTTGGCTTGTGTGGCACAAACACCATCACCATGTTCCTTCCCCAGCAGCTATTCTTTCTTCACTCTCAGCTTGGCCTTTTCTGCATTACTTCTCCAGTTAGGATTTAGTGTGGTTGCATTTAATGGAAAACAAAATTTATAGTAGCTCAAATTAGGCAAAACAGTATTTCCGTTAGAAACCAAAGTGATCCAAAGGTAGTGTGTCTGGGAATCTGGTCTCTATACCTCTTCCACTTTTCCAGCATCCTCAGCATCACCTCGCAGATGGCAGCCATCATATGTGTGCCAGGAACTAGCACAACAAAGGAGGGAGGAGAGAATGTTGCAACTGCTAATTGAGTCCTTAAAGAGGTCATAATCCCAGCAATTCAGAGGCAGGAATAGGAGGACTGCAAATTCAAGGTCAGCTTGGGCTGTTTCTCAAAAAAGCAGGAAGGGGGCTTCTAGAAGACCCATAGACACAATATAACCTCTTGTTTTGCATTCCTTTGGGCTTTCTATTTGTAAAAGATGCTGAGAAACAGTGTTTTAAATGAGTCAGAACCCCAGTATTAACAAAGAAGTGTTGTAAAATATTAGTTGAAGATGTGTTACATTCACTTATGCTGTGTTATTGTTATAATGATGCAAAAATGTGTTGCATTCTTTTATGTTGCATTTCTTTAACTCTGTGAAGCTATGTTACTTTGCCTGCCTAAAACCCTCATTGGTCCAATAAAGAATTAAACAGCCAGTAGCTACGGAGGGGAGAGATATAGGTGGGGCGGCCAGGCAGAGAGAATAAATAGAGAAGAACAAGAAGGGAGGAGCAAAAAAAGGAGGAGAGGACACCAGGGGCTAGCCACCCAGCCACCCAGCCACCCAGCCAGCAATGGAGTATGAAGTAAAGAAAAACATATAGAATAGAGTAAGTTAAAAGCCCTGAGGCAAAAGGTAGATGGGATAATTTAAGTTAAGAAAAGCTGGCTAGAAACAAGCCAAGCTAAGGCTAGACATTCACAAGTAAGAATAAGACTTCATGCATTTATTTGGGAGCTGGATGGTGGGCTCCCAAAGAGCACAGAGAAAAGAAATTACAAAGAGGCCAGATACTGGGAAGCTAATTGGTATTGGCTGCCCCATGGCCAGCCAAATGACATGCTCCTGGGACTCTACCCTGAAAACTCCCTTTTCTCATCCTAGAACTTTCAGGCATGCCTCATGACCATGATCTTAATGCTACTATGATATACAACAAAGCCTTCTTTCTCCCCTACTCACTGCTACTTCAGCTTCTTCAGCCAGAGGTGTGTGTGTGTGTGTGTGTGTGTGTGTGTGTATTTGTGTGTGTGTATTGTTGGCTTTGGCATCCTGAATGAGTACCTCACAGTGATGTACTCTTAGATTTAGGTGTGCTTGTCATCTCAGATGTAATTAGGGTTCAGGAGGTAATTTCTTGTACCAGAGGATTGTCAATATCGAGGAAGCTGAAAGAACAAGGAAAGAGGAAAGACCTTTGCTTAAGTTGTAGCTGCTGTGTTGGGCTCTCTGTGCATACTGAAGGTGAAGTAGAGCTGAGCTGCCTGCTTCTTCTCCTCCAGGTTCCTGGGAGATACCACAGGCCATTGCTGCCTTCTTGCTCATCCTCCAGCGACACCTCTGCCACATTCCCACCCTGATTGGCTGAAGTACCATGAAAGAAACATGAGGAGAAAGGTTGAGTCAGGGGAAGAATAGATGATAACAAGAATGGAGATACCATAATAGAGGGAGACATTTTAGGTTTACAGAGAAATCAGGCACTAGGGAAATTTCTGGAGATCTACAAAGATGACACCAGTTAACAATATAAGCAACAGAGGAGAGGCTACTTATATGCTTGACTGACTTATATGCCACCTGACAGCCCTCATCCAGCAGGTGGTGGAAGTAGAAGCAGACACCCACAACTAATTACTGAACTGAACTGGAACCCAGTTGCAGAGAAGGACAAGTGAAGAGCAAAGGGGTCCAGACCAGGCTGGTAAAACGAACAGAAACAGCTGACCTGAATATCGGGGAGCTCTTGCTCCCCAGACTGATAGCTGGGATACCAGCATGGGACTGATCCAGATCCCAGGAACATGGGTTTCAGTGAGGAAACCTCAGAAATCTACGGGACCTCCTGTAGTAGTTCAGTACTTATCCCTAGCCTAGGTGTGGACTTTGGGAGCCTATTCCACATAGAGGAATACTCCCTGAGCCAAGACACACGGGAGTGGGCCTAGGCCCTATCCCAAAGGATATGAAAGAATCTGATGACACCCTATGGAAGGCCTCAGCATCCAGGGGGAGCAGAAAGGATATGTGATAGGTAGGGTTTTAGTTGGAGGGGTGGTAGGGGAGGACAGGAGGGACAAGGGAACTGGGATTGTCATGCAAAACAATCCTGTTTCTAATTCAAATAAAAAAATCTGAAAAAAAAGAAACATGAGGAATTGAAAGGACTCAGTCTGTGAAACTTTGGTTGGAACCTATAGAATTACAATAATAAAGTTTGGGTAATGAGAACCACTCACATAAAACCAGCTAGAAGAGGGTAAAGTTTATCTTGCAGAGGAGTTTGGCTGGACACTGTAGGGAAGCAAGCAATCACATCTCCACAAATCACAGCACACAGAGTAGAGAACATTCACACTTCCCCTCTACTTAATTCAGCAACATCTTCTGTGAGCTTCTCTGTGCTGGGTACTCTGCGAAGCACTTGGGATGTAAAGATGCAAATTTCTCAGACTGCAAAATAGTTTTTTTTTCCCCCTGAATTTTAACAATGAAGAAATGAGGAGGATCAATTCTTGTTTGGGAATAAAAGCAACATCATTTATTTTTAACAGAGTTGCCAGCATTCAATTTGTCCATGATGTATTTTGTTCAGAGCCCAGAGATTACTGCCATTAACTGTCTACTTTCATGATTTATGTTTTTCTCAAATTTACTTTTATTGCAGCTCAAATAAAATATGTGTGGTTAAAAATTAGTTTCCTATCCTTTCTAAATAATATTGAACTAAGTAACTCAGAAGTAGATCTGGGCTTTAACAACTGAATGTGTGTCACTTACACTCACATCACTCTTGTTCACAGAATTTGGTACTCTCAATATCCTGCTACTTTGGCTGCTGATGTATGTGCTTGTCTCTCTGTTTGGGTTGAACAATATTAGAACTGCTAAGTGATTCTCATTTACTCCCCAGAAAGAACTGTAGAGAAAATGAACACAAAGCATAAAGATAACAAATCCATGCTGCAAAGGCATTTCCCTAAAGCTCAAATTGGAAATAAGACACAACATTACTTTTTAGAAAAATTACTTTAGTAAGATGTTTACCAACTGGAGAATCAACTGCAGTGTGGATGCAAAGTAATCGTGATGCACCAGGCTAACGAACAGGGGTCCCAGAACTGGTATCCGAGATTAGATGTCCGAGTAAGGACAGGCGGCGAGGATCTACTGCTTCCAAAGGGCCTTTCTGGCTGCTGTCCTGTCCACTTCAGGACAGGCGGAGCTGCTTTTTGCATTTAATGACACCTTTATGAACTTCTTCTTCTTCTTCTTCTTCTTCTTCTTCTTCTTCTTCTTCTTCTTCTTCTTCTTTTTTGGTTTTTCGATACAGGGTTTCTCTGTGTAGCTTTGGAGCCTATCCTGGCACTCGCTTTGGAGAGTGCCTGGAACTCACAGACATCCACCTGCCTCTGCCTCCCGAGTGCTGGGATTAAAGGCGTGTGCCACCAATGCCGGGCTTTTATGAACATCTTAGTTCTGCCTAAAACTTCTTGTTTTCTGGGAAAAGGTGTTGATAATAACGTGGATCTCAACTTCTCTCCTCACAGAGAGAACCAGGGCAGTTTATATTTTTGCTTGGGGGAAGAAAAGGTTTTCTTGTCCTGTTGTTGGAACGAACGTTGAAGTAGTCAAGGGTACACTTACGAGGTGGGTTGTCCTTCTGTATGCTATGAATATATCTTGTTCCCATTGGTTGATAAATAAAGCTGCTTTGGCCTCTGACAAGACAGAATATAGCTAGGTGGGAAATCCAAACAGATATACAGAAGAAGAGGGGCAGAGTCAAGAGGAATGATAGCCAGCCTCCTAAAAACAAAGATGTCGGCAGCAGCCTAAGGAGAAAGATGCCAGAACAGAGGTAATATTGTGGCCATGTGGCAATACACAAATTAGTGGAAATGGGTTAAATTATAAGAGACAGCTAGCCAGTAATAAACCCGCGCCATCAGCCAAACAATTATAATTAATATTAAGCCTCAGGGTTGTTATGCCAGAACTGGCAGAGGAGGGGGGGAGAAACCTCCAACTACATGTGGTAGGATCAGATGAGACAGAGAAAAGTATCCAGCTACACACTTATGTGGGAGATGTCCTCCAACATTGAAACTAGGGCTTAAAGTTGGAGTTATCTAGTTGATACCCTAAGGGCAGATGTGGTAGGAAGAGTTCAGATGAGCAAAAGCATATGCAACTGTGTGTTATCCCCTACAATTTCTCCTCTGCTCACCTTGCACCTTCAAGGAAAAATGTGTTAAGGGTCACTGCATGGTCTTGACTGTGTTTGCACAAATAAAAATAAAGCTTTTGAGAATGCTTGAGGCTTAGCAGTCCAGGGTATGAGGTAAGAGTGAATGGCAAACGCATGGGCCAGAGAGAAAGTGCTGCATTTTAGAACAAAGAGACAACTGAATATCTTCCAGGTCTCTGAGAAAGACTAGGGTAAGCCTGATGAGAGGGAGGCAGTTTTGCATCAGTGAAAGATGAGTTCTAAAGAAATGATATACCTCACAGTTACGACTATGAGGATTTCTGTGCTACAAGCTTGACATAATAAGGGGTGCCTTCTTTGGAATCTCCTGGCCTGGGAACTGCAGGCAGTTCAATTTGCCCCCAGCAGACCAACCAATCCAGAGTCTTCTGACATCTCTGCTAGTCCCGCCACTCGGGGTAGAGGTAAGCATGGGTCCCTGTCTCAGGCCCGACTTCTACTTGCCCTATATGGGATCTCCTGGCCTGGGGACTGCAGGCAGGTTGACTTGCCCAGGCAGACCAAACCATCCAGGGTCTGCTGACATCCAGGTGCTAGTCCCCCCTCCATCTACTGGGATAGGGAGTGTCTCAGACCTGCCTGCACCCATCATGAGACCCATCAGAGTATTGGACCTGCTTGTACCCACCAGAAGGGAATCTTGGACCAGTACCAACCAGGAGAGGAAGAGACTCTACCTGCACCCACTGGAAGAAATGATGAGAAGACGATAATATAAGAACACATTCAAGAACAGAAAAACCAATATGACACTACCAGTCTAGGACTCTACACCAGCAAGACCTGAACATCCCAACACAGGTGAAGCAGAAGAGAACAACCTTAAAAACAACTTCATGAAGATGATAGAGATACTAAGAGAGGAAATGAGAAAATCCTTTAAAGAAATGGAAGAAAAAACAAAGAAAAAAATTCAAGAAATGGAGGAAAAGACAAACCAAACATTGGAAGAAACAATTCAAACAGTGCAAGGTTTGAAAGCTGAAATAGAGCAATAAAAAACACAGTCTGAGGGAATGCTGGAATTAGAAAAACTGGGTAAATGATCAGGAACTATGGATGCAAGCATAACCAACAGAATAGGAGAGACGGAGGAGAGAATCTCAGGCATTGAAGATACACTAGGAGAAATAGATTCATTGACCAAGGAAAATCTCAAGTCCAACAAATCCCTAACACAAAATATCCAGGATATATGGGACACCATGAAAAGACCAAACCTAAGAATAATAGGTACAGAGGGTGAAGAAACCCACCTCAAAGGTGTGGGAAACATATTCAACAAAATCATAGAGGAAAGTTTTCCCAAGCTAAAGAAAGACATGCCAATGAAAGTACAAGAAGCTTACAGAACACCAAATAGAGTGGACCACAAAAAAGTCCCCTCGCCACATAATAAACAAAACATCAAACATACAGAATAAAGAAAGAATAAGAGCAGCAAAGGAAAAAGGCCTAGTAACATATATAGGCAAATCTATCAGAATTACACCTGACTTCTCCATGGATACTCTGAAAGCCAGAAGGTCCTGGACACATATTCTACAAACACTAAGAGACCACGGATGCCAGCCCCGACAAGGCTTTCAATCACTATAGATAGAAAAAGCAAGATATTCCATGACAAAACCAGATTCAAACAATATATATCCACTAATCCAGCCCTACAGGAAATACTGGAAGGAAAACTAGAAACTAAGGAAGTTAACTACACTCACAAAAACATAGGCAATAGACAAACCCACTATACTGAAAGCCAAAAGAAAAAGCTGGGTAAATCCATAAACAATACCACCACCACCACCACCAAATCCAAAGCAAACAAGAATTAACACTCAATGGTCCTTAATTTCCCTCAATATTAATGGTATTAACTTTCCTATAAAAAGACATAGGCTAACAGAATGGATACAAAGACAGAATCCCTCCTTCTGCTGCATACAAGAAACACCCCAACACACCCCCACCTCCAAGACAGACATTACCTCAGAGTAAGGGTTTGGGAAAAAGTTTTCCAATCAAATTGACCCAAGAAGCAAGCTGGTGTAGCTATCCTAATATCTAGCAAATTAGAATTCAAACTAAAATCAATCAAAAGAGATAGAGAAGGTAATTTCATATTCATCACAGAAAAAATCCATCAGGATGAAGTCTCAATTCTGAATATCTATGCCCCAAATACAAAGGCACCCATGTTTAATAAGAAACATCATTAAAACTCAAATCACGCA